CACACACACACACATACATGAAAAGTTTAGATTTTTGGTGACATTCAGTATTTCAAGGCTCCTAATCTAAGAGGTCAGATTATAAAATTGAATGACACGCAACTCCATCTGGAATTTGCTTCTGTCCAGCCATTTGTTAAACAATTTTGCTTTTCGTAGATTCATTCTGTTATAATTCAAAAGGAGTTTTTGTTGTTTTATATTTTGCGGTTTATCCTTGCTTTATTTATTTATTCGTTTTTAATTATCATTATACTTTTGTTTTTTGTTTTGGCAACTATAGATTCAGTTGCCAGTTACTATTTCGGTTTTCTTATCATTGACTTGATTTTCAGTGTTTCTTTGCATACATCGTATGGAAGATGATGTTGATTCATTTATATTATTTTATTATTTCCTTATTTTCGAGGATAAAATGTACATTACTTGTCAAATAAACACTCACGTCCTTAGTATACATTCTCTCCCTTTCTCAACAGTCGTGGTGTATCTTCCGTAGAAGTAAGACGTGTTTTAGGGCTATCCTCAGTCGTGAGAGATTTCCTGAATCTTGTATTAACGACCCCGTCACCACCGGGCTCCCCTCATGGGCATAGCCCGGGCGAGGCTCTGCCTCGCAAATCTAAAAAAAAAAAAAAAAAAAAAAAAAAAAAAAAAAAAAAAAAAAAAAAAAAAAAACACGACCCCGTCCCCCTGGACAGGGAGCGCGTGAGGTGCCTCTGGCCCTCCAGCAATTTGTTACTTCCAGATGTCAGCGTGGCTGGTGATGTCATATTGCCCCCCCCCCCCTTTCGATGTAGAAAACGAGGATATGATTTACTTCACAAGAACATGTTGCAAGTGGATCCCTTAAGAGGGATAGAAGTGAAGGAAGTGTGGACATGAGTGACAACGAGAATGGATGCGAGCGGGAGGGAACCGAAGCAGGAAATCAGCATGTTGCCGATGTGAATGGCGGGAATTGATTGCTATTCCCACAGGACTGCGCCATGAATTTCCTGGAGAAACTAAGGTGGGCCATGGAACTGGGCCTGGACCGCCGTGATTTCGAGCCTCTTATAAGGGAAGACAGAGGGAGGCCGTATTTCACGACACGGGCATGCAAGGTGGAGCAGACCCTGGGGACTCAGGGATACAAGGGGACAGTGATGACTCATTCAAGTGATAATTCTCCTTCAGACCCACACTTTCTGTTGGACAATGACAGATTTGTGTGGGTGAAGTGGCACGTGTCCAGGGAAGAGAAGCGGAGTCAGCTCGTTGCCTTTTTGAAAGGGGAAGTGCCAGAGAGGGTATTCATCTCTAGAGCGAGGTACAGGAGGGTGGCACCATACGTGGAGCCGCCTGTCATGTGCCTCATGTATTGCCGATGGGGCCACAAGTCTTAGACCTGCCAGTATGTAGGGTAAGGCCACAATCGAAGTTTATTTCGGCGGTTCCCCAGTAAGGAATGGCGGAAAGGGGAAAAGGACCGGCCACCTCGCACCTCTCTCTCTTCGGTACAAAATAACTAAATAAATAAATTAAAAATAAAAGAAAGAAAGAAAGGAAACAAGAAAACCATAGCGTTTGTCCTCGCTCTGAAAAAATAGGTTTAAAAAACTTTTTGGAATGCTATGAGTTGAATGACCTGTGTTATATGGTCGTTAAACTACTCTAAAACACGGCGCAAGGAGGGCGTGTTGATAGCAGTTGTATTTTTTGTTTGTGCTTCGTTGTAACTTTTGTGAATTGACTTGTTAAATGTGTGAATCATTATTTTAATTATCTATTGTGCTGTACGTTGCTATTTAAAATTCATTTGATATGATATTTTATATACATACATATTGTGTGTATGTAGATTATATATATGTATATATATGCATACACACACATATTATATATATTTATTGTGTGCATGTGGATGTATATGTTTATTTTCACCAGAGCGAAATGCAAGGCCCCAAAGACACCGACATAAAACGTGTCTACGTATTTCTCCTTGCTGTGCGGGTAAAAGTAAAAGTAAGTCCTCAGTGGTTATATTCTTAAAGAATCATCTTCCGGGTGTAATGAGAGAACCTACTCTCATCCATTTGCCTTCCTTCTTCTTAGGTCTGATCCTCTCTTTTTATTTCCTTCTCCTTATCATTCTTCTGTCTTTTCCTCTTCTTATTCTCTCTCACCCATTTCCTTGCTCCGTATCACTCTTCTCCGTCCTTCCTCCTTCTTTTCATGACAATCTTCTTCACTATCATTATCCTTATTATGACTATCACCATTTTCTTCCCTCTTCCTTCACTTATTCCTTTTGCTTAGTTGTTTTTCTCTGTCTGTGCTCTGTTTCACTGTACATACATACGCTCTGTTTCACTGTACATACATACACTCTCACACTTTAATTCAAGTACACTAGCATTCGTGCCACTTCACCACGAGCTGCCAATTATCGTTATTTCCTCTTTTTCCTTTTATTATCATCATTATCATTATAATTATTATTACTGTGATGATCATC